TGGTTGTTGTTAAAGGCACAACAAAGCAATTTTAAGAGAAATCAGATCACTGCCTTTCCCTAGTAATGAGTCTTTTTTTGAGAAGGCCTTACTTCTCCAAAGTCGATCCAGTAGCTAAGGTGACCATTTTAAAAAAACATAACTCTGTGACCTTTCATTTTGTATTAGACATATCTATGTACAGCGTCTGTGATATCATAGCAGAGGTTTGAGAGAATGTAACATTTAGAAAAATTATGTAACCTCAACGAAATTCCTTGTGTGGTTTTTTGTTTGCTTGTTTGTTTGTTTTTCAAATTGAGAGACCTGCAGATTTTAGAGCAAAGAAAGGTTCTGAATGTTCTAACTATATGTAAGTCAGGCTTTAGAAAAATTCCACCCTTACCTTTTCACAATTAGAAAGGTTATAAATAATGTATTTGGCTGACAAGGAAGCTCAGCCTGTGGCAGATGGTATCATTCTAGAGGACTGGGGTTTCTGTGAAGATGGCATTCTTTCAGATCGGAACTTCAGCAGACTCGCAGAAAGAACTGAAGCTCCTCATAGGGAGTAGACATGTGCTTTATGGATCTTAGAAAAGCTTACAACTTGGCTCCTAGGAGGAGAATATTGTGTCACACTGAGGTTATGAGACCCACAGCCAATTTCTGCCGACTTCCACATTGTATTTTCCAACACTGGAAGCCATGGCCTGTTTATTCATTGGTGGACTGTGTAGCATTTGAACATGGGATTTCTACTGCTTGAGTTTTGTCAATTGGATTATTTTATTCCCAGAACACTGGTGTTTTTATACATACTGGTTAGTGAGCAAGAAACTTGCCATACAAGTTGTGCCTTTTTCAAAGTGATTTGGAGAGCTCGTATAAATAGACACCAAGAGAGAACTGGAATGACATAACCACTGAGCACTGCAACTTCCGAGACATCTGTTTGGATGTATTTTGAAAAACCTGGGAAGGGATCTCTTGCAAATTAGTGAACAAAGGCCTTTGAAACTATGATTTCTTTTGTGACAGCTAAAAGTGATGGATTTTGCAGGTTTGTGTAATGATTAAAATGCCATTATCTTCAATGTTTAAAGAACCAAAAAGGGATGAGATGTGCTGGTGGCCTGCAGTAATGAGTTATTTTACTGAGCCTTTATTAATTATCTGATTGTGCCCAACCCTGTGATGAGTCCAGACTGTACCAAAATAAGACCTAAGACTTGGGTTGTGGTAGGAAATAAACAGTCTGATAAAGGATATGGTAGCACTACGCATCGGATGTTTGGCAAGGATCCCACAAGAGCAGAACCTTGCCCTATATCCTGAAGAGAACAGCTGCTAGCCCGAGGTGGGAGAAGGGCACAGGGCTCCACTTCAGGTATGGTGTGTTTCCTTGATGTCAGGTACCAGACTCAGGCCAGCTTCAGAAAATACCACCAAATCAGAATGTTGGCCTGGATGGAAATCCTTCCCCTTGTTATCCTTTGAATGGACTTGTTACCTAATAATATAATTAGTACATTCTTCACCCTCCTTAAGAAAATTGGACTAAATCATTTTGAACATTTTATCTGATACCCTTCTATTATTTATAGTTGACTGATCCATGTAATCATATAATAAAAGACCAATGAGAAGGAGTAGGCGTAAGGGTTGTCATAGTAATTAACATATGTTCATACTTGATATCTATTTTCTATGCTGTGTCCTAATTGTATCTCTTCTATTTTATTTTTTGTCTCTTCCAGCCTTTATTTTCCTAGTGACTTGACCCATGGTTGGCACATAGTAGGAGTTCAGTAAATACATGTGGAATGGGGGAGGTGTGCCTGAATGAATTTTTAAAATAACCTCTAAGGTGCATACTACTAGTATTCCTGTTTAATATGGAAAATTGTGGTAGAACTGTCAGTTCATTGACCCAAGGTTACATTTCTAGTGTTGGATACACCTTGCATTTGAATACAGGCTTATTTCTATTCCATTTCATCAGGTGCACATTCAGTATATATTTAATAAATGTCAGGCACTGGGGTAGAAAATAACACGGAACTTCAGTCCTATGTGAATTTATAGCTTCATATAATCTTTTAAAACCAGTGTCTCCTTTTAATTGATGTGAGAATCCCAAGTCTTAAAAAAATATAAACCAAAAAGGAATGAACCCTAAGTCTGTTTTATTAAGACAAAGAACTTGGTCTACTCTGTGTACATCCCTCCCAGCTAGAAGAATATCACCTTATCTTCACTTTCTGTTACTTTTATCATCAGAGCAGTAGGTGTTCCTGATTTTTCAAATTTAAAATTAGAGTATGGATTATGGTATTTCAAATGCCATGTGTACCGTGTGATTTTGTAATGTCTCTTCTCCTACCATTGAAACTTACTAGTCTACTTGCATAGGGACTTTACCAGAAGAAAAAGAAAATTCCATAAAGTGGGTATATGAGCAATTTAATTGTACATATTCCTGCGTATTGCTCCAATAAAAGAAGTGACCACAAACTGTCTAAGTTACGGAATTGTTCCCAGTGTCACAACAGCGCAGAATGGTAGTGATTCTAAGTTCTCTTTAATGTGTGTTACATAACCTGTGGACTAGCCTTTTAGTCATGTTTTCTGTCGGCTAATACTTATATTAATCAGAGTTTGCCAAGCACATACCACTTGACAGAGTAGACAGCATCCAGAAAAACCACGTAACAGATACAGCCTACCAATTTAGGGTTAAGCCTGGGCAACGGGAAGCTTTGACACTTCGACAGTGATGCGCATATGGATATTATTTTCCACATATGGATAATAATGAACTGTAAGCACTATTACATATGGGCGTTAGTTTTATAAAAATATTACAGAACATTTTTTCACACACACTGTAGATTCTTCATTTTTTCCTCCTATATATCTCCACAGTTGGTACAATGAATCACATCAAGATGGTCTGTTTACATTGTCTGTCTTCCTAAAAAATGATAAACTTCTCGTAGGCAGAGGCTTTGTGTTGTCCATCTTAGCCATGCACATAATAGGTCTGCATCAAAGAGCACATTTCATAAATACAGAACTACTGGCAAACTGAAGTAGACTGGATGTTTGTCAAAAACCTCAGCAAAATTTAGATACTCAATACATTTCTAAAAAGCCAGACATAAACTGTGTCTCACACATCCATGTAGTATTATATTAATATATAAGAATCTGTCATGATGTCTAGGTAAAGTGTAATAATTTTTCAAAAATTGGACCAAAGTGGAAGAACATCACCTGTCATCCATTTGCAGAATCACTGTTATCCATCAGTGATCTCAGTAGTTTTATTAGTGTCTGACTTTATTGATCCATCATTACAATAGAGTAAGTGAGATTGAAGCTGACTGATTGTTAACTGGATCAGGTAATCTTCTGGCTCTGGTTTTGGCAACCTTGCTAAGTGTCTTTTTGCACTGTGGACTGTGGGAGGCTCTTAGTGCAATTGCAAATTATTGGATTAATGGCAAAGCATCACCAGCACATTAAGGATATCTTTTTAGAGAAATAAAATGTGAAAATGACTATAAAGTTGAAAGTGTCACAAAAAGATACCATCACAGTGCCTCTTAGTAGAGATAGCTATATTTTACATAAATAATGCAACTCAGGCTTATCCATCACTGCAAATTCTTTAGATATCTCCCAAGTTTACACATTACAGAAATGTGTGCATGCTACAAAATTGACACTGATAATGGATGTCAGGAGAGTTAATAATAACCAAAGCACTTTTCATTAGAAGTAGCTCTCCATGAAGATAATGATATAAGAATACCTTTGTCCCCAAACTGGCTTTTCTGATTGTTCATTGCGTCTTGAACATGTTGCCTTCTCTAAAGGATTTCCCCATAGAACAACTGAAGTCTGAAATGTATCTTCTATTTCTCCTCTTGGAGCAAGGGGTAGATTGGTGATACAGAGTTTCATTCCTAAAACTCAATAGGAAATTAATTTAGCTGTTACTAGAAAATATGGTTTAAAAGAATCAAGAATTAAGTCGCTGAAGTTACCATAACCAAACTTTTCTGGGACGAGAACACTTTTCATTATTGAAAGTGAGATTTTTATTATTATTCCTCTTGGTACTACATTAAAATCATTCTTTTTGTTTTGTATATTAAATGATGGACTATTTCCAGGGCTTTTATTTGAAGCCAGATAAAGGGGCAAAATAACTCATTTTCTTTTTTTGTGGTATTCTTGAGAAGTTTAGTAAGTATGAAATGTGAATATTAAACATTTTTTCATAGTTAATTAAAATTCAGAACTCAAGTTTTACTATAGGTAAACCCAGTAGCAAGATTGCAGGATGCCTTTTTCTTCTGATAATCTCTGTGAATAGTTTTGTTTCTCATCAAATGTGATCCATTAAACTTTGAATAGTGTTAGTGGCCCTACAGTTGAAGCCCAAGTAATAGAAGGAAAGTATAAGTGGCGTCTCTCAAATTTTAATATGCACGTGAATTAGATCCCCTGGGATCTTTGTAAAATTCAGGTGTTGGTTGTTAGGTCTCAGGTAAGGTCCCAAATCGTGCATTTCTAGCAAGCTCCTTGGTGATGTCCATATTGTTGGTCCCTGGAACATAATACTTAGAGTAGCAAGGATGTACAGCCTAGTCACTAATCTTCAAAGGGTTTTTAAATTGCAGTCATAATGTTGTCTTCGTGCATTTGGATTTCTTGGGATCTGTGAGTATTTGTCAGGCTAGGGATAGATGATATTGGTGGAGATTGGGTGAATAATGCTAAGGCAGAAGTCTGTGGGTTTGCTTGCTTTATACTGGTCTCAGTGGGCTACTGCTTGGTACTTACATAAGCATTTGTTGGTATACTCCATGAAGTTGAAGTGTGAAGCTAAAGTATGAAACAAAAATATGTTGGTCATCAGCTGATTAAAAATGTGCCCAACTGAAATAATTTCTGTGTTTTATCTTGTGATGCTGTGTGTTACAAATGCTCTCCCCCTCTTCCTGCAGAGCATGATTTCTTCCATTGTGAACAGCACTTACTATGCAAATGTCTCAGCAGCAAAATGTCAAGAATTTGGAAGGTGGTACAAACATTTCAAGAAGACAAAAGATATGATGGGTAAGCAAAAAATCATTGCAGTGGTAGCTACATACCATTACTTGTCATTTGGGGGTTTATCAAAGTCACATCTTAAGCCAGGTCTTTTGATTGCCCAATTAGAGATCAATTTAGAATGTTTCTTGGAGGGTGGGGAGTGGGATATGAGTATAATGAGATAATTAAATTCAATAAATGTTTGTGTTTAAATCAGCCAAACTGACTTGGTTGTCAGACATGCAGGAAATCGAGGCGTGAGCAGGGGAGCTGTCATTTTTTTTTAACATCTCAGTGAAGACCTAACCAGGCCTTGAATAACTAATATTAGCTGCAGTTTCTCTCAGAGGTAGAACATGCTTTGAGGGTTTTGGTTTTTGCTTGAAAGAAACAGGATCTGTTTTTATACCCAATTTTTAAGTGAAACTAAACTATCACTCTTATTACACTACATTTATAATTTCTACAATTGAGATCCAGTGGTTCCAGCCCCAGCACTCCTCTAGGTTAGGCACTTTGGTGAACGTACTGGTTTACCATTGCATAATTTCTAAACTTCTCAACATTGCATTGTATCTTAACATGCAATGTTAAGACAATATTTGTTGTGAAGAAATATGGTAAAAATATCTGAATTGTAAAAGAACAGATAAAGGCTGAGTGCTGTACCTAAGCATTTAGATTATGGTATTTTCTCCAAATTGAGTTTGTTAGTGCACACAAAAGCAAACACTGTGGTTAAGGTTAATGTCCTAATTTCTGTTAGTGATTTCGTCCACATAGTTGTACCAGATGTATATTTTAAAATAATATAGAAGTGGGATGTTTAATACGCATAACATTATGCTTTGTTTTAAATCTGTTTCTTATTTCTATTATATTCATTTAGTAGTAACAACTATAACTTTTCCTAAAGATTTTAAGAGACAAGGGAACTTGCATTTTGAGCATGTTTTAGCTTTTAATATTTGAAGAAAAGCCATCCATCTACCAAAACAGATTCTTTGCCTTTTATAGCTTAGAGCTGTAATGAAGACTATGCATCATTTTTGGAATAATTGCTTGAATTACTATTCTCTGTGAATGGCCCACTTGGGCTGATATCACTGGTAGAAATTAAAGGTTTTTTTCCCCTAATTCTTAGTTATATTTTGCATCTATCAGTGACTATAGCAGTATGGTAAGTTCCTCTAAATATAAAACCTGCATATTTAATGACAAGAGGAGTGATGATTAAAATCAAAATAGAGTCTATACATGGAAAGTAAACTTGGAAAAATTTACCTATTTATTCACAGAGCTCCATGCTCAGCCTTTTCAGTCAAGAACATCAAACCAGTACCCCTCTGTGTAACAGCAAGTGTTTGACACACTTAGACCTGACTCTCTCATGTGAGAGACCTAGCCAAGGAAGAAGCATTCTTCCCTAACAGTATCACTGTTACGCTGAAATGACTCCCTGCCCCTTCCTTGCAAGATTGCCTTCAGTGTGTAGCCCAGGCTGGCCTGGAACTCACTTGATTCTCCTGCCTCAGTCTCCCAAGTGCTGGGATTATAGATGTGCACCACTATACCCAGCTACTAGCAGTGGCTTCTTGGAAAAAAAACAGTCGAGTTTTAACAGTACAGGGTGTACTATCTTACAGGATAAATCACTTGCTGTCTTTCCAAGAAGTGCTATTTGCAGTTATGTCTATTGTCCATAATGGTTAAATTTACACAAGCTGTGTAAGATGCTCAGCTTGATGTTCAGTTCTAACACTTGGTTAGTATTAGGCCCATTTTTATTATATCTTTATTATACAGACTATGTCTTTGTATTTGCTACTATATAAAAATAGAATGTAGGCAACGTTTTAGGTTGTCTTTTTTTTCTTTCACACTTTTCTTAAATTACTGAAGTTAATATATATCAGGAGAAAATGTAAATTTCTTTTCCTTAGTTGCTTGTTATCATATACTTCTTAGTTCATGATAAGCTTTTAAGCAAGTGCAATTTTTCTAGAAGCCATTTTAAAGTAAATCATTGCTTATAGAAACTTACTGGAAGTTATAAGTGAAAATGAGTCACAGTTTGATCCTGTAGCTACTCACAGAAAGAATTTGGATATAGTAGATTTTATCCCTTAAGTCTAAGCTACATTTTACAAACTAAGATCAGAAGTGTTGCCCTACTTTGAAAGATTGTGGAATTGTTCAGCAGAAGAAAACCAAACTGCAGTCCGGTGAGTTCCATCTTGAAATTTTCTTGTTTCTTTTGGTTCTTCAGTGTCCCCTGTCCCTGCTGTCTCTTTTTTTTTTTTTAGGAAATGATCCGGAATCTCTGTCGGTGCCTACCGGTGTTGACTGAACATGATTTCCCTTTCTGTCCCCTGCAGTTGAAATGGATAGTCTCTCTGAACTATCCCAACAAGGGGCAAACCATGTCAACTTTGGCCAGCAGCCAGTCCCCGGGAACACAGCCGAGCAGCCTCCGTCCCCAGCGCAGCTCTCCCACGGCAGCCAGCCCTCTGTGCGGACCCCTCTTCCGAACCTGCATCCTGGGCTTGTGTCAACGCCTATCAGTCCTCAGTTGGTCAACCAGCAGCTGGTGATGGCGCAGCTGCTGAACCAGCAGTATGCAGTGAACAGACTCTTAGCCCAGCAGTCCTTAAACCAACAATACTTGAACCATCCTCCCCCTGTCAGTAGATCTATGAATAAGCCTTTGGAGCAACAGGTTTCAACCAACACAGAGGTGTCTTCCGAAATCTACCAGTGGGTTCGTGATGAACTAAAACGAGCAGGAATCTCCCAGGCAGTATTTGCACGCGTGGCTTTTAACAGAACTCAGGTCAGTCTTGTTCTGTTTGTAAACTGTTTGGCTCTCTCTTCCCTTCCTCTCCCTCCTGCCTTCATTCTGTGTATGCTCATGTTTACTCTTCAGCTCTGTACTAACATTCCACCTTTCTCTTCACATGATCATATGGGTCATTCTGGTGGCACCTACGTTTTTTAACTCCTCTTCCTACAGTGGAGCTCCTCTCTGAAAGGATACCTATGTACAAATTAATCCAAGTCAGAGGACTTGCAAGAATAAATTAAATGTAAAAGCATTTCATGCTGGCATTACCCATGTTGCTATATGATAGAATCATAAACTGTTAGTAATAGTAGGTTGAGAAAAGCATCATGAGTTGTTCAAGGCCTTGGGTAGAATTCTAGGCTTTGAGCTTAGTGTAGTTTCCATTTCTACTGATACCAAACTTAAGTATGTAAATGTGCTTTCTTACAGTTTTTCCTATAACAATATTTTTGACCCTTTGGAACTCAGTACCAACTTACTGGTATTTAATTGTAAGCAGTCATTTAAAAAAATTTAATAGGACTTATTAACATAAAATGTTGCTTAGCTTTGTCTTCTTCCTTGTTTTATTTTTTATTTTTTATTTTTTTTTGGTACTTGGATCAAACTCATGACCTCACGCTTGCCAGGCGGGTGCTGTGCCACTGAGCTAAATCCCCAGCCCTTCTTTCTCATTTTACTACTCATGTTCTTCCAAACCCATTCTTTAGATTAGAGAACAGCACACATTTTTCTGTTGGTGGCCAGATAGTAAATATTTTAGGCTTTGAGGGCCATAAAAACTCCATTGTATTGTAAGATGAGCAGCCATAAATAATAAACAGAAGGACAGTCTGTCTGCAAAACAAGCTGTGAGGTAGATTTGGTCTGCAGGCCTTAGTTTATGGACCCATTTTTAGACTTCCCATTGAGATCTGTGTGAATCCCTAATGTTTATACCTTTGTCTTCCTGGGCAAATTCCTATGGAGATATTATCTGTCACCATGAGTGCTAGTTAGAGGGACATGGAGACAAAATGATACATGATCTGAGAAGTCATAAGATGAAAGATTTTTGAGAAGCCCTAAACAAATTGATTCTCTTAAACTGTGAATGAAAATATTTTTTTTCTTTGTTTGGTAACCAGTGTGGTATGTATGTTTATTTTTGGCCAAGGCACATTAAAAAATGAGCAGAACATGTAACTCTGATGAGATTGAAGACATTTATTTTTACTTTTACCTCGTTTTACCACTGTTCTTTCTTTAATCAAATTATTTTTGATTTTCCTAACTGTATCTTTGTTGCATTTTAAGTTATTTTATTATATGATTATCAGAAGAAAATTCTGGTCTAAAAATGATCTAGCATTTCTTATTGGCAGAGTTTCCATATTTAGGAGAACCATAGCTATGACTTTCTTTGGGAGAAGAAACTAGATTGGGAGTTAGGAGACTGGACAAAAGTGTTCATTTTCAATTTTTTCATATGTATATATATTTGTGTCTCGAGTCAATGAGATAGAGCTTTTATGGCTCTGGGATTTTACTTAGTTCCATATTTTTACAGCTTAAAAATTGTGTTCATTATTAGCTAGTCATTTTAATATGACATTTAACTTTAGTTATGGGGATAATCATTAAAAAAAAAAAAAGAATCCAAAATCAGACCTATAGATATTCCTGTTGCTGGTAGCATTCTTTATTTTTGTGAACACAGTACTAGTAATTCTCAAAAATAGGACTCTACATGAAAGTACAGTAATGCTTGTTGAATTCAATTAAAAGCCCACAGACAAAGACAACATTGCCATAGACACAAATTATAGACATAGATTTATTGATAAGTGTTTTAAAACTCAAGCAGTTAATCTTACAGCGCTGTGGAAAATGGATTTTATGCTGTGATGAGTGCTTCAAGAGCTGAGCTGAGCTGAGGCAAGGGAGGTGGATCACCACCCATCATGAAGTTTTCCCAGGTTCTGATGCCATAGCTCATGCTGTAGACTGTTCTGTCTGCTTTTGGTTCTTACATTGAAAAATGCCACAGATGTGTATAAGATTTATTGCTGGAAGAAAGGTAGAATTTTCTCTTTTTATACCAAGTTAATCTCCTTGAAAAGATAGGTATCTCTGTAGTTCACATTAAAAAAAAACTATTCTTGAGGATGACAAAAGAATGAAAACCTGGTTTACCTTCATACCAGTACCTCTTTTTAAATAGCCAATTTAGAAAAAAATATTAAGAAAAAATTATTTGGGGGCCTAGGCTATAAAGGGGTTTGATTGTAAATCTTTATATTGATAATTGACAGTCCTTAGTAGAAGTACATGCTGGGGCATATTTGAAGCTGTTTGGTTTAAATAGGAGTGATTTTATATGTATATTTAAATGTTCATTGGCTGACGACTAGGTTTTGCACACGCAAGCATGTATGTATTTTCAGCGGTCATACTTAAAAATCACGCACACACACAGCTGCATTTAATGATTATACATTCATATGAATGCATGTAGTGTGTTTATTTCAAAGTGTATGCATTTCAATAAAAGCAGGTGCAGAGTGAAAGTATGGTGTGAGTGTGGAGTACGAAAATACACATGCTAATGCATATGTATAGACAAGGAGCTCTGCAGAGTTAAATTGCACATCACACGTTTGTGTGCATGTATCACGATGTGTAATTCCAACTCCAGGTTTTAAAAAATTAAAGTATGTACATAAGCACACAATTCTATGATACAATTGGATAAAGACATAGCCTGTTCTAGTGTATGTGCTGCCAAAGCGAGCCCAAGACATATCCTATAAACAATTTGCTAAACATTAATATAATAGTGTGGTTTTGAACTGAAAATTGTTTTAGTCGTTGACAGCTCAGAATTACTTTAAAATCTGGATTTCATGTTCCAACTCTTGAGAATTTTCTGCTCATCTTAATAGGGTTTCCTAAATTAAAACATAAACATCTCTTAGATTTTCACACGACCAATTTTTTTTTTAGTCTACCTTGCCTGACGATTTATGGCGAAATTTATATAATTACTTGTTTTAAGGACTTTTTCCCCGTCTGAATTGATGGGCATATGTTCTTTAATAGCTATTGAAGATTCCAACTTTTAGCATATGTCATTCATTCACTTATGCCTACTTGATGTCTTTTTAATGGAAACCTATGGCTAAAAGTAACTGCCAAAGCTGGACTTACACTTTCCAATTCACCCCTCTATAATATTGCTATTTAAAGTTTGTGATACAAGAAAGCACGTTCTTTAATATCCCCTCCCCACAAATAAAACACAAATGTTTAACTCTGACCCCCCTCTATGGCTGTCTTCTCTTTCTCCCTCCTCCTCTTGTCTTTGGCACACTTTATTTTCCAGTAAAATAAAAAATGAAGATGGATTATTCAAAACTGATAACAGTAATGGACCATCATGTAATGTTTTATTGAATTTGAGTTCTGTAAATTATGTGGTGGAGAGAAATTTGCCTGCTTAAGTATAACAGAAATTGCTACTGTGTTCCTATAATTCTTCACAGTGTAATTTAAGAAAAGTCCACTATCCATATCACTATTGAATAAAAGGTAAAAAGGTGCTATTACCCCAACATGACAGCTCTCTATTAGCCTACCCAAGGACAGAGATAAATGCGTCTACTTATAACTTACTTGGCTTGAGTCCAAGGAGTAGGTGGAGTTAGAAAATAGTCTTTCACCTGGACATGTGATTAAAAATTCACTGAACAACAGAGGCAGGTAGTGTGGAGGAATATTCTGTGCATTTTCTTTTTTGTGGGGAAGGCTTCATCCAGTCATATTTTCTTTCTGAAGGCTTTGAAGTTCCATGAAGCTGATACAATCTATTAGAATGAGTGAATATATTTAAAGCCGAGACAAACGGGAGGCCAGACAGGCTTTTTGTTCAGATTGGCAGTTTCTTCTGCTTATCTGCTATTTTAAAGAATTCATAATTAGCTTTTGGAAGTACTGATCGTATTTATTGAAGGTCTTTCTTGATGAATTTTACTTGTAGTAACTTCTAAACTCTTGTTGGAATGTAAAAAAAAAAAGATTTAGGAATTTATCAGTAAATTCATTCTTTAATTGCAAAGAATTAGGATTCTCATGTAACCACTCTGTAACAACAATGCAGAACAACTTTATGCTTACATCTGTGCAACACACATCCAATCATTTGCAAGATGAGTTGTCCCAATGAATGACAGCTACTCATTCCCCACTAAATTAATTGCTGGTAACTTCCGATATAATATTACAAGTTCTCAGGTTCTTTGTAGAAACAAAACCAGCAAATGATTTTAATTTAGTTCAGCAAATTTATTGAGCACCTATGCTGCACGACATTGATGTTTTAGTCCCAGTGTCATAGTACCTTCTATAACATGAGGCATATGAGAGCCTTGTCATACTTTTTTAGCATAAAGAAGAATTTCTGGTAAGAGAGCCCTCTATCAGTCAACCATGGGGAATTACCACACAGCATCTTGACCTAATCTGGCAAGTCTGTACTGTATGTTTTAAACTGTAGAAACTGGGAGATAGGGGCCACAAACAACTTGAGTCCACATGTATTTAAATAGCAGGGATCTGAATGGGCACAAAACATGCATTCCTGCATCTTGATTCTGATAATCATTTTGTATCCACAATTATTCTAAAGTGACGTGACTTTTTTTTGGTAATTAACACTAATCAAAACATTTTCTAACAAGATTTTTAAGCATTTCCACCAGGGGGCACTCCCCTCATTGAAAGCTCTGGGCAAAAAAAAAAAAAAAAAAAAAAAGGTTTCTAAACACAGGAGATTGTCTACACTGACTATTTTAGAGCTTGTTGAGTGTTCATAGGTTTAAAACATTGCATCAGACTATCAGCATATTCCATGCAGAAAAACTGTTCTTGTTCCAGTAGAATAATTAATTTAAGTGGAAATAAAATGCTTTGCCCCTGTAACACTAGTATGCTTAAATGGAAAGGCATGCGAACTTCAAAATATGGGCAGAGGGTAAAGAATTTTCTAAATTATCTCCCAAGTGACACGTTTTCTTCTATCTTAAGCCAAAGCAGGATGTCTTAGGTTCATATTAGCAAAACTCAAGAGACAGTTATTACGTATTTTTTCGTGTGTTTCATTTTTCTCTGTAATTCTCTGCTGCTTCAGAAAACATTTTTGGTAGAAATCTGTGGTATATTACTCTGCTATTTAAGATTTTTAAATGTCTAATTTCAGGTATTTCTCTTAAAAATCTATAGGTTATCCTTTTCCCTGGCCTTTTTTTTTTTTTTTTAAATTACTGAACAGTTGTGTAGGTAACATCTCAGAGAGTGCCACGTAACTTTTTCCACCCTGAGTAAGAGTAATTACCATTAGAATTCACCCACTGGTTTTTGTCCACGTTTTTATCACCTATTTGAATTGCTTTTTGTGATCTGTATAAACATAATTAATCAGTTGAGTAAATATTTATCAAATACTTACGTGGTGTAGGCATTGTGTTGTTATGACAAAACTTTTATATTCAAGGAATTTATAACATTGTATTTATGTATACTGAATGTTTGGTGTAGTTGAGATATATTACTTTACCAACGACATTTAAAATACATACTATTTGGTGGGGAGGGATGAGGAGGAAGGGCTCTTTCATTATACCTATTTTCAGATTTTTCCTTCATATTTGTGTGGAGTGTGTGTGTACCTGTGTTTTGGTTTCAGTATGACACATCAGAAATACTTCAATCTAATTTGTTGGTATTGTGCAAATTAAATAACTGGATGATTGATTGCTTGTTTGGCTGAATTTTAGTTAAATTGACTGGAGTTGTTTTGTTCCTGTGTAGACAGAGTCGCAGCATTACTCATTGGTAGCATGAATAAAAGGACATGTGCCACCCATTTTTCATCACATTTCTTAGGGTGAAACTGGAAGTTCAGGTCCAGTTTCCAGGCTGTGATTGAAGTAGATCAAGTGAGAGGTTTCTTTAAAATTGATTCCTTGAAGCCCCTAGAGACTTTTAGAAGTTCTTTAATACTAGCTTATAAATCATTTATAAAGTGGACAGTGCTTTTACACTATCTGCATCCAACTGTTATATTTAAGCAACATGGTACATTATCTTGAGGAATTGGACACAGACCCAGGTTTGTATTTCTCCATTGTTTTCACATCTTACCATCCCTCATTCTGGAGGGTTATTGGAAAGTGAATTTTCAAATTATATGTAAATTTTGATGAGACTTACTCTGAGTTACGTTGTGAGAAGCTGATACTCTGGCTAAATAAAGAAAGCAAATGCATCTTGGTATTTCCAACGTTATTCCACGTATAAGATCAAAGAGACACAGGCTGCTCGGTCCTTATAAAGTTATCAGAAAAATTTTTGAGTGTTTTTGTTTCATATTATCCCTTAAACACATTGGAAATAAAACTAAGTTTAAAAGAGTCCTTCCAAGAGTTAGAAAGTTAGTTGAACAATACTATCCTATGATTTGGGGGAAGAAAGACACCTTTAGGGAGTTTCCAGAGGTGCAAATTTCTTATGTTACTAATAATGCTTTCTTTTTCTTAAGAAATTTGGTAAGTGCTGAATTTGATAATATTTATTTCAGGAAATAATATGATGGGTTTCTGCAGTATAAAAGAGTGATTACATATTTCAAATTTGATTAAAGTTCAGAATTTTAACTTAGTACTCGGTGGTATAGTACACACTTTGATAATTTGAAGATTAAGGAGTAACTTAAAACATTGCCTGTGAAAATTTAGCATCATTCTTAGGTGATGAAATAGTAATATTCATTTTTTTCCTGATGTGTTGCAGTTCGTTTCTGGTATTGTCTTTAAAAGTTCTACTTACTGCTTTAGATATGGCTTTATATCTTTACATCCTAAGCTACTGGCATTCCACTGTCTTTGTCTAAGCAGGTTAAGAACTATACAGTCTGATGCTGTTGTATTATGAAGATTTCATTCATTCTTAACTTTCCCCATTGTCTCTCTGTGAAAGATGTTATGGCAAGTTAAGCTACTCGAAGGCGACCATTTAGGCAGCTTCAGTTTATATGTGAAGCAGATGCTTAATAAAATTAAGACTATAGTTGAGGCGCTCTTCCTTAACACTTCAGTTGTACCTAATGTACTCCTATGCAGAGGAATGCCTCGGACTGTTCCCTTTGTAAACAGAGTAGAAGACGGGAGAGGATCACCTCTGGCTGGCCAGACCCTGCCAGCAAACTCACCCTGTGCCTTTCATTCCCGCAGGGCTTGCTTTCAGAAATCCTCCGGAAGGAAGAGGACCCCAAGACTGCATCCCAGTCTTTGCTGGTAAACCTTCGGGCTATGCAGAATTTCTTGCAATTACCAGAAGCTGAAAGAGACCGAATATACCAGGATGAAAGGGAAAGGAGCTTGAATGCTGCCTCGGCCATGGGTCCAGCCCCCCTGATAAGCACACCGCCCAGCCGCCCTCCCCAGGTGCGCTCTTCTTTTCCTTGACCTTCTTTTATGTTTTTTTTCTTTCTTTTTAAAAAAATTAAAAAGAATTTCAACAAGAAACCAGACAGATACAGATTTTTAAAAATTCATAGAGTTGCCTGAGGAAAATTTCATCCCAAATCACTAATTCTGATGCAAAAACAATAAGCTACTAATTAGAAAGCAGAAGAAAAACTGCTTTGTGTTGCTCCATTCTTTGTGGGTTTTTTTAGGGGTGAAAGGGGTCTTTAAGTGGGATATTTACCTCTACTAGCAACATTAATTAAAAAGTATTTTAAATTCAATAGGAAAAAAGAATAAGGTCAGTTTTATCCCTATAGTTTTGGAACTGCCATTTGAGTAATAAATAAATAAAAATAAGTAATTCCATTTGTACTTACGCTTCACAATACGAACTACAGCTGGTACGAGTTACACATCATCTCGTTTGTAATCTTTCATAATTAAGTTTAATACAACCCTTGAAGGCAACTTCAAGTGGGGCTAAAGAATTCAGTCCCTATTCCCAAAAATGGGCACATTTTCGGTTAAGTTTTTGGTCACTTTTTAGGAAGGAAAAATGTTACCTTCCAGGTAATTTTGTGGCTGTCCATTTGTAGTATTTTAAATTTTTATGTTTATTAGTACATGTTTATAGTACATAATGATTACATTCATTGTGGGGAATTGGTACATGTACAAAACACACGTAATTCCTTTTATGTCCCCTCCCCACTTCCTTCCATCTCTACCCTTTCTCATTTGCAAAAGATTTATCTCTGTGTTTCCTATTGCATTATTATTTTAAAAATCAAGTTTAGTAGTCTCCTTATAGTTATTATAAGAATTCAAGAAATGATTTAGTAAGAACTATTAGGTGAAATTGGTGGTGGTTGAGGCTCAAAGTCCACAAGCAGGTCTGCTTTTTACATGTTTAATCTGGATTTCTCAGCCCTTAAAAATAAGGTCAACTAAGGCTGGGAATATAGCTCAGCAGCACAAGCGCCTCCCTAGCAAGCGCAAGGTCCTGAGTTCGATTCCCGGTACCAAAAAAAAAAAAGAAACCCATACTAAAAATAAGATCAGCTAAAATGAATAAAAATAAAATATGAAACAAAATCAGGTATTCATATGACCTATAATGTCATGATGAAATTACATGTTGAAGTTTATTTTCTCCATTAATAGTAAAAAAATAAAAATAAAAAGCATGTATTTCTAAATATACGAATCTAGTGAAAGCCTATTCAGTGTTAAAGATGAAATTCCTGCAGGCACTCCATAAATGAGAAATAGACATAATATCCAGCCACTTGTTGAGGCGCTGTTTATCTAATCCTGCTATCTATAGGAGCAGACTATAAGAAAGTCATTGCTGAAACTGTGAATAAGAAGTCCTGTTTCTATGGGAGAGGAGAAGAATGTCAACTACCTGTATATATACATAACCACCTGCCTACATGCACAGTTGTTGAGTTTGATCTGTAGTAAACCCTTCTGTAAAAGACTTCCTAAGATAAAGAAGGAAGAACTCTACCTATGTAAACATATACATATATGTATATATGTATATATATGTATATATATGTATGTATGTGTGTGTGTGTATATATATATATATATATATATATGCCTTTTGTCAGAATGATTAAATAAAAACATTCTCCCTTGGCCTTGGTTTAACACTTGCTTTGCTTGTTTAGAGTTAATGCACCTCTGGGCAGACTAACTTTATCGCTTGATCTGCAATGCTAATGAAAGAATGGCTTACTTAAGATCACTATAAATTTCAACACTAAAGACCCCCTTTTTTAAAAATATCTGCCCAAATATCTGACCTGGTGATTGTTTAATACAGCTTTTGTTTTCATGTTTTTCTAAGATTTGGGTTTTTTTTCCCCAAATATGATTATGCTACCCTTATGCATTCTCTTTAGTCAAAATGACACTAATTCTTATTAAATGATATTTATTTTCATGTACACTTAAGGTATTACTGTGCTGTCCTATGTATACATATGAAGGTATTATCTGCTGTAGTAAGTAGGGGTAGATAATGTATGTATTTTGGCCTGAGTTATCAATTGCCTGGTTAAGGCACCCTTAGTTGTACAGTGTTATTTGTTTGTTCTTAAGACAAATACGCTGAGGAATGCAGCTCAATGGTAGAGCAATTGTTTAGCATGCAGAAGGCTCTGTTTTCCATCCCTAGTATTTTCAAACGATAAAAAGACTCAAGACTAAGCTCTTAGCTACATTTGGACCAATGATGAATGTATTTATGGAAATACTGTTAATTTTTAGTGATCTTCTTTCAAAGGAAATGCTTCTATTAATGAAGTATTACTGGCCATTTAACCAAATTCTGAAATGATCAACTGATACATGTATGTATAATTTTATTTTATAGCTATAATACACACCTTTGAGGTATCTTACTTGCCTCTCAAAGAATCCCATTGCATTACTCATTATTACAATAAAGCTTGCTACCAAACTATTTGTACTTTATCCATTATTAGTGATTCAGTCAAATTTTAAGAAATTCTTGGCTGTATGTTTTGGCATATGCCTGTAATTGCAGTGCTTAGGAGGCTGAAGCAGGAGGATTGCTGTGAGTTCAAGGCCAGCCTGGGCTACAAAGTGAGTTCAAGGCTGGCTTAAATTGCATACTGAAAACCTGTCTGAAAAAGGCAAAAAGAAAAATTTATCCACAGAAATTCTCAATATATTAAAGGTATTATTACAAAATGAGTACTTTAGATTTGGAACAAGTGTGCTATAGCACAACTGAATTTGTAGTGTTTTGCAACAGCTGAAATTGAACTCTTAAACTGGAGCCAATGCAATACATAACAGGGTTTTAATATGCTTATTATGAATGGTTAAAAAGAGAGGGGGAAAATGAAATCACAGATGCAAAAAAAAGACTGCAAATTTTGTTCTCCTTTAATTTTGTTTTCCTGAGAAGGTCTGTGTGAAATTACTGTTCATTTCATTTCCCCTAAAATGAAAAGATTTGGAACTTATTTTGAGTCAAATTTTGGGTTTGAATTAAACCTAAACCCGGATTTCTTTCTGGAGAATTACAGGTAAAGAACTACAGTTTAGTGGCTCACAGATCTAAGCCACCTTTACTCCTGAGAGACTAGATTCTCTTCCAGCTTCTTATAGGGTGTAGGTCACACGTAAGATAAATTTAGAATGTACCTGGGCCATATCAGACCAAGGGACTGAACTGTTGAGGCACTTGAATTCCAGAGGGACTTAAATCTCCAAGAACTTCCCCAGCTAGGGGAGTTTCAGGTAGAGCTCCTAGGGACACCTCATCTGGAGAGACTTAGACCAGCCTCAGGAAACAGCAGAAATTTGGGACCTTCTGTGCATAACTGTCCCTTGCCCTGCATTTGGGGCAGTCATACAATGGGCTTTGTACTTAGCTTGGGTCAGTAGCTCTGGACCAGACCTGTGCTGAAAGCGTATTTTTACAACGTATGTGTTCTAATTGAAGAAATAAGAATGTCCTCACTTGAAAGTGATTCACAGTTTTCAGAGCACCTTAACCTATGTTAATTCATTGAATCCTCATACCAACCTTTCAGTAAGAGGAAAAATGAGAAGCCCTAGTATAAGACTGAATTCAAGTTGTCAAATCCTAGTAAGTCCATGGTTCTTTCCTTTACTTCAGACCCCCTCATCAAAAACAACTTATTTTTGAAAGGAGAAAGTGAGCCTGGGGACTTTTTCTGTTTGTTATACAAGGTAGGAAGTTGTATTGTTAGATAAGAGAAAGGGACATATGGGAAAACATTGACCTGGTGGAGTAAAGGAAGTGCTGGGCAGGTGACCCACATGGAAAGCATTTGAGCAGTGGTGTGTTTCTGATGTTGTGGAGAATACATCCCTTCCAAACTGTGGTAATGTGAAAATACCTAGGAGAACCCAGTCCCCTCAGACTTACCAGGTCTGAAGTTTCTTTTCTTGCCATGCTTTACAAATTTCCCCATGAATTTACTAGAAGAATTTTGCTAATAATAATTAGTGATTTTTTTTTTCTTCTAATGATTTGTTCCACAGCATAGGTCAATTTTGAGGATTTCTGCCTTAATTCTCTGCTTTCTCTGGTTTTTGTGTATTTTTAATACATGTGACTTTTGATTTAAATTAATTTTGCAATTTCAGTTTCCACAAAGACTGTTTGAAAGCATGTAATGATGAACTTACAACTTTTACATGAATTATATAATTCTTTTTTACATTGCTATATAATTCTTTAGTTGCTTCTAAAGTAAGATTTGACATTTTATAATAGTACTTATAGAATGTTGAAAGTTCATATAATAATACATATTTAATCTGGTAGCTGCACTATTATTTACATGTAAAATAAATCCCTCAATAATATACTGTTGGCTCGTTTGATTTCAGCTGCAGTTTCAAGCATGAACTTAACCCTGATGAAGTGTTTGTTACTGAAAACTTTAAGATCATATTTGTAAAATGCTTCTCATTAATAGTCATCTGTTAAAAGCTAAAACACCTTTAAAGTCTAGATTTGGAAAATAATGTTGTTCCTACAGAATAAAGAAATATCTGAAAAGATCCAACCATGGTATTACTGACAGTGTTAAATATATAGAAATTTAAGAGCAGGGACTATTTTTTTTATTACCAATAAGCATTCCACAGAATCACACATTTCTTACAACAGGACTAAGAAGACACTTGTGTCCTGCTTGGTGGCACAGACCTGTAATCCCAGCACTCCAGAGGCTAAGGCAGGAGAATCACTACAAGTTAGTGTGGTCTGTATATTGAGTTCAGGACAGCCTAACTGACATGGTAAGAACCTGTCTCAAAAACAAAACAAAACAGAACAAAAAAAGTTTATATTTTCCATACCTCGGACAATAAATTTAAGTTAGAGTTGTAGTATCAGTTATAAAACTGTTAACCAGATTTAGTGAAGAGCCACCAGAAAGAAGGTCAACATGTCCTCATAACAATGTTTCTGAAAAGGCCCTTACAACAGCGCCAACCCCACGCAGCTCTGCCGCCTCTAAGAACAAGCATCAGACAAACTTACAATTTTAACCTTGAGCCATAAACAAATTACTTAACCTCTTTGTTATAACAAAAATTTTTTTTTCAATTTAAAAATAGTGCCAACTCTGGGCTATTATGTAGGTTAAGAAGTTAATATACATTTACAGAATGCCCAACACATAATAACCAACTAATAAATGTCAGCCTTTATTATCATAATTATTAAAAGTACATAAAAATTTAATTTTGTGTATGTGAGAGCTGTGTGCTTGCAGGCAGTTCTTCCCGCATCAAAGAGGAGCACATTCACCATTCAAGACCAAAGGAGAGTTTGTTCTGTGTAACCTAAAAATACGATTTGATGGATTTAGCAATCTGTGAAGAAACAGAATACAGTTTTTATGGGAAAAGTGTGTTCTGCTGTACAGTTTCAGAGAAATAAAAAGCAGACCCTAGTGCTGCACCCATCCCCGTAAGAGAGGGTAAATCGCAGAAGCTCCCAATCCTAACTACTTCCCTGGCGCCGCCGTAATAACGGAGTAGTTCACCTCACCTTGATAAAAGCTATTCAGAAGGCAACTGCATTTATTTTACCTCCTGTGCTATTTGCGGAAAAGAGCTGAAGAGTAGTTTGTTTTGCCTGGAATGAACTACTTTATGAATTTTAATGTGTGATATAATATTAAAAGCTAAACCCGGATTAAAGATTTTTTTTTGTACTAAGCTAAAATAGTACTTAGCAGAGTGAGGTATAAAAGATTTTTGTTTCCATTTTTACCTGGGGAAAAACTCAGCTTTCATATTTTGAAAAGCTGTCCAAGTCAGTTACCCTTGAGCAATAGCTTGTGTTTAGTGGGGGAAAACATGATTCCAGAAATCTAATAGCTTATCTATGATAAGATGCATATCTGGGCCAAGAAGACGATAGCAGAAAGCTTTTCTAAATATTTTTTAAGTGAGTAATCCAGACAGATAATTTCTAACTACGTTTTTAAAGTTTTGCTATTACATTCTTTTTTTTTTTTTTGAGTAATATTTCATGTGTGTTTGTTTTCCATTTTGGTTTGTGTTAGCCCCTAGGAAATGAATAATTGAATTTTTTTTTATCTAGAATTCTTGCTTTTTGGTTCAAATTGTATTTGCTTTATTAACAAAATTAACTGAATAAATTTTTACAAACAGAATCCCAGGGTTGAAACAAATGATTGTAGCCCACCTCAGTGATAAATTTTCCAATGTAATTTTTACAGAAGAATGAAAATTGTTTTAAAAGCAGACAAAAGCAGTTTTCCAAATCTGCTCTTAACTATTACTAAGTAGATTGCTACTAAGGAACTGTTTCTTCCAAGGTACTGGACTTTATTCCTCAATTAACATAACATTCAATTTTCAGAGCAATTGAAATGGCTTTTCTTTTTTCTTTCATTTAAGCTGTGAGAAAAATAGGTATTGAAAGGGACCCCATGGGGTGATCAGATCTATTCCTCTGCCTCAAAGCAAGACCACCCCAGAGCAAGATTTCAAATCTCACCAAAGCAACTTTGTAGGCAATTTATGGTAATGCGTTAACTCTTCTGGCTCCTAAAGTGGTATTTAGCAGATTATTGCTTTAAAGCCCACTTCTCAGTGGCCTTGTCATTAATACTGAGTACCCTTGCTCACTAGACTCCCAGAGCTGGAAAGGGAACACTGGAAATGTAACCTAGACTGTCACCATCCACTTTCAGGTGATAGTTTAAGGGAGGTAATGAGATCCTATTACCTTCTGTGTAGTATTCAGGCCTGAGGTCCAACCATCTCATCGCCTTATCTTTTCCCTGCTTAGAGGGGTAATATCGTGGTAGAATACCCTTCAAGATGAACAGCAGGTGCAATATTTTTCTGACCAGAAGGTAGAGAAGTTCAGAAGGTACGTTATAAAGGGGACTCACATTTAGTTTTGAGAATTGAATTTTCTGTTTGTGAAGTAACCTCTGTACTATTTTCTTGCCAAATATTTTGAAGACAGAGTGAACTAAAACCATGGAAACTTAGTAGTTTGACTAGAGATGTGGCAGTTAGTGCCAAAAACTCTTTCTTTATTCCTAAAATGCACTTACTTTTCTGTCATTCATAGTTTGTTAGAATTTGTACAAGAGGTAAGATTCTAAACAACAGAAACGTACAAATGGCACTAAGAAGTGAGATCCTTAGTCGTTCTGCTGGGAGAAGCGTGGTGCTGAATCTGTAGTAATTTTTCACTTCCACTTTCATGAATTTCTCAGTTAAAAAGTGATGTACTTAGTTCATATGTAAATATTCAAGGCTGGTTCATGTAAGTACATAATAAAAATTAAAGTTGGAGCTAAAAGTATAGTGGTATCAAATTTTGATGTGATTTCATTTTCTCCCTAAAATTTTGTGGCATCTTCTGCTGATAACTGTTTTTCATTATTATACAAGGCATTGGTACTAATCTTTCGCTCAGGATTATACGTTTTGACTATATTCATGAAGTCACCGATGATATATTTTGTGTTACAATAATACTCTCTTAAATGTTGTGAAACATTTTCTTATTGTCTGGTTCCACAAGTCAAAAGGAAAGAGTCGTATACAAGGGTGCCAGGAAAAGATGAAGTAATTATACAGAACAGCTTGGACATGCACGTGTAAAATGCAACCAGCCTTTATGATAATTAAGCAAGGCACTCTACCTGTTTCATGGATGGATAGAAGATTTAAATATGCAGTTCTGCAAATGGCTTTGTTATGGAAGATTTTTAAAATGAAGCATAAGAGGAAAAGGCATAAAAGAGTCTAAAATTAAAAAGGCCATAGTATATAATAGCTATTAGTGATGTAGTTGTCTATTAGGCACTGGGCACCCAGTGAAGATGCAGCATTGTGCATTATGATTTTAATTGTGAATTTCCGTTGTTAGGATTGCAGTGGAAGGTAATTGGGAGACAATTAGTTTAGGGTTTTCAAGTCTTTGAAACTATTCTGTTTTCCAGAAAACTTACTTTATGGCATTATAATTCCTGGTTGTCAGCTGGCAGTTGCTGTCACATTACAGATGCAATCACCTGTGACAATGTGACTTCCTTAACTTAACCAATCTGATCTCAGGGCAATAAGTAATGTTGAATGACTGCACTGTTGATCACCTTGATCATAAAAAGAGCAACAATGTCCAGTTCGGATGCTGAGCCTGAGAAGCTTCAAAACAATTTAGCCAATGAAAAATGACAGCTGTATTCAAAATGTTTTGTAGGTGAAAACAGCTACGATTGCCTCTGAGAGGAATGGGAAACCAGAGAACAATACCATGAACATTAATGCTTCCATTTATGATGAGATTCAGCAGGAAATGAAGCGTGCTAAAGTGTCCCAAGCACTGTTTGCAAAGGTTGCAGCAACCAAAAGCCAGGTAAGAACCTCTATTAGGCATTGGAAGTATTTATTTGTGATGCCCGTGGGATTTTCATTAACAGAAGTGTCTATTTTGATATGAACTTGCATTACTGAGTGGTCACAATCTTTAGGGTTATGTGTGACTTCTCAGATGAAACAGTGTTCAGATTCAGATTATAGATAGTTTTGTTTCCCTTCAACAGCCACTTCTAAATCAAGGATTTATCTGGCAATCAGTTAATAGTTGCTTTCAGAAGAATAGCATAATATAGAGAAAGTTTCATAGAAAAAAGTTACTTTTGTTTCAGTATTACATAGATCATAATTTTCATTCTAAAATACGACAAATATACAGTTTCTTCTCTTCTGTTCAAACCTGTTGTTACAACAGACTTCACACACATCTTTTCCTATTAGTGATAGTTTTTACATAGATGTATACAAGATGTACAAATTGAATTACCATTAGGACATTTGTTCAATTCAAATGAGTTACTGAGTAGACTTGAGTTGTAAAAGTTGCAAATCTCTACAAAACAAAAGCAAAGGATAGTTACTGCAGTCTTTGTCAGTGTAACTGTCATATGTTGATAATTTTTGTTCATCAAAAGTAGAATCATCTATGAGAACAAACTCCTAACTGCCTAAAACCCTTCTTCAAGAATACTTTTTAAAGGATCAGAAGAATACTAAATTTTCTTCCCCCTGGCAAAGGATTTGATAACACTATCAAGGTGAGATTTAGAGGCAATCAAGGGCTCCAGGTGAGATTTGAACAACTTACATTTGTACACAAGTATATTTTCATTATCATTAATGAACCCTCTTTTTCATAACATCCTGGCTGTTGTCAGTTTGTGATAAAATGTATAATTCTGGGAGTATTTATGACACGATGAATTTATAACACTGACCTTTGTAGCTTTTTAAAAATTTTACTTGATCAAAATTAATAGTAGTACTTAATGGGAGTTTTGCTTTAGAAAAATGTTCTTGTTTAAGTTATAGGCTGGATGAAATACTTAAGGGATATCTTGGAAATGTTATATAAAAATGATTAAACTCAAGCTGTGGACTGTAAAAATTATAGCTTTATAGGCCACATGCCTGCCTACCCTTCAATCACTGTCAAAGTGATAATTTCTACAATAATATGTTTCTTTTATTGTGAGATTCTAAACATCAAGTGCTGTTTAAACATTAAACTGAATTGTTTATGTTAGCACTGCACTCAGCGTGCCATACATCAGGCCACCGTAATCTCTCATGGAATGTAAAATTCTGTCATGAATCATGGCTTGTATATCGGAAATTACTGTAATTTTGATTGGAAATTACAGGGCTCTTGAAATGTTTCTAATTATGATAGAATGTTAGAGCCGCTTCAAACCTGTGTGCTTCTTCAGATGTCTTCATTTACATGCCAAGACTATGCATTAAGGAGAAATGTCCTGTTCTCACTTCACCCACCCACCCTGCGCATTCTTGTTTTGACTATTTAGTCTAATTATGATGAGGATCTCTTATTTAAATATATATTATCTTGCCTTTCTTTCTGATCTTACATCTTTTTTTTCCTGACCTGTCTAATTACCAAGAATAACAGACTGCATTCCTACAAGGGCTGAGCGCTTTCCCCAAATCTCCAGAATGGGAAAACTAGACCTGCACTGTTATAATAAGGTCAGCCTTAAACACAAAACAAACAGAAATTAATAGTGAAGCTTTTCAGTAAGTGCCGTCAGTTACCTGTCACTTTCATTTAATCCACCCCCCCTCCCCAAGTTTCCTTTTTGATTATAGTGCAGCTTCCTATGACTAACAATCCCTTTACTACCTTCAGTTTGATTCCTTTAAATGATACCCTGGATCTTCCATCTCTGGGCTAACTTACTGATCTTGTAACTATTCAGACAGTATTAGCAGTTGTCCGATACAGTTGTGTGTGGATGTTCTAGGAGTTTTTCAACATCCTTGCCATTTGTACCTTGTGATTCACAGTTCTCCTGAGTCCCTCTTTCAGCAGTGTCAGTGGGCAATTTCTAACGCATGATAGTGTGTTTCCTAAGACCCCCCCGAATTTTAATCTCCTCATTACTGGCTGAGTGAGCATCCAGGAGGCTAACTACAGGCTGTAGGGTTCTGCAGACTGCTTTCATTCTTTTGAATAGTCATTCCTGATTTCTAATGTACTGTCACTTCCTAGAAGAGCAATTTTATAGTTTTCTCTTAGCTGTTCAGTTTAAATCCTTACAGAAATAAGTACAAAGACTGATGCTTACTTCAAAGTAAGACAGGTAAAAACTATGTCCATTACTAACAGGAAATCTAAGAAGGAAAGGTGGCCATTTACTTACATTGTATTTTACTGGGCTATCTTGTGAAGGGAACAAAAGCTAAGAAACCAACAAAAGCAGAATCTTCACGTCAGATTGACCTTTCTCATTTAATTTCTCATGGTCAAAATTTGACATTTCTAAAATAGTTATCTCTGTCTCAAGATTAGATGTGCCAGAGCTCATCAGAATGAAGCAGCGCTCCCCCACGATCAAGCCTGTGAGAAATGCGAGGCAGAGCACTGCCATCTTCCTCCATCTGCTTCTGTGTCCCATCCTGGTTGAGCAGGTTGGCTTAACGGCCACCGCCTCTTCCCAGTAGACCCCATCGTACATTATGTATTAACTGCAGTTACTTTGGAACCCTGTTAATTTCCTCAGTTTACACATGAGGGTCACTTATTAGTAAATAGTAGAGCCAACTCTGAATTGCATCCCTCGTACTACATTAGTAATCTCTTCAGGTTTCTAAGGCAGCGCCGGTACTAAAGTTACTCCTGCTCCAGGGAAGAGAAATTTAAGGATATTGGAGATAGAAGCAGCAGAAAGGGCTTTCTTTTCTTCATTGACTGGTTCATTGGACACAGGTTAATACTTACACGGGGCCCTTGGAATCCAGTATTTTCATGGCTAGTAGAAGTGAGTGTACATGGTACAAGGGGAGAGGTGACCAGGTATGCCTCTAGCACCACAGTGTCAAGAAATTGTTTAAACATGTTGAGCCCAAGATTGTTTTAACACAGGAGAAAGTCACAGTCTATAATATATACAGAAGCACTTTGAAATATATGTTACAGTGTGCTACATAAGTTCAGTCCTCCACATAGATACAGGTTATTTATCATGTATTTATTTCTAATACCTTCCATTTTAAAAGTTAGAGTGCTCTGCAATGACGAGTGCACAAAGTATTTTCAGTAAAAGAAACCAACTTGTGTAGATTCCACCATTTCACATGTATTACATTCTCTTCAATGAATAATAGAAATGAGATTGTTTTTACCTCTAATAGAACCGTCTGAATAAAATACGCACCTGGAAACTGAAGGTAGGTTACTTTTTTGCTTGGTTGGGAAAGCAGGCTAATAATGCAAACTTTAAATAGATGATGTGCTTTAAACATAATGTGAATGGCTACAAACGAATACGCTTCATATTCTGGGTATTCAAATAAGCAGCAGTTTTTCCGAGTGAATCATATTGGAATTTTATCAAACATTTAGTCTGATAACATTCAAATAATTATGAGAGCAGAATTTGCTAATTTTACTGTTTAAAAAAAATAGTTGATTTGGGTAATAACCATTACGGTATCAAGGTTCAGTTACTGTTCATTGGTTATCGTGTTTTCATATGGGAGATGGAAATGGGATTTTTCCCTTAATAGTGGCAGATGTTAGAATCTAATTTTACTCCACAGCAAACCCCTTGAGAGCTCTGAGGCTTAAGGTGTGTGTCCAGCAAAGGGACATTAGCGGCGACGTAGGCCTTGCCTTGTACTCTGGGTTGTTACACTGGTTTTCATGTTTGCCGGGTGGAGTCTGCAGATACAGCAGCACAGTAAGAGTCGAGGGCTTTCACAGAGCCGCACTGCGTCACCACCTGTATTGAGAAAATGATGCTTTTCTTGTGCTTTATTAAACAGGGTATTTCTTCTAGGAAAATGACTAGTTGTGAAGATTTCATCTGACTGAACGTACTTTCAGCGTAATCTTTTGTAATGTCCTGAGTTACAGAACTCTAGCCACTGCAGCTTTGGCTGGATTGACAGGCCTGGTTTTTAACACTAAAATTAAAAAAATTTTTTAAAACATGCTGTCTTTGCAAAAACAGTACTGGTGGAAGAGACCAAGTAATTTAAAACCCTTTTCTTTCTTCCATCTACTATTTATAGACCCCTGTCTTGGAAATTTAGGGCGAGTGAGAGAGGATGATTGAGAGAGGGACAGAGAGAGAATGCTTCAGTATTCCTTGAGTTTGTAAATTTTTTTTAAAAAGCATAATTCTGACTTTTAGGTTTGGAAAATCCTAGATGGTGGTTGGAGTGTCTTAAATACCAGTAAGACATACTTCACAAGCCAGTAGGGTAGAAACAGAGCTAAAATATAATTTTAGTTGCTGGAAATTAGACTCTGTAACAACAAAATTCTGGAATGAAATCTCCAGTGACTCTGTTCTGTCTTTTAGCATGTTACAGAAGGCACTTTTTATTTTGTTAGGGTTAAATTACATTTCATGGAAGCTACAGTTTGTAGCTGTGTTGATTCCTTCTTTTGAAATAAACGTGTAACAGACTGTGCTGCCCCAGGATTTCACCTGTGCAGCGATCTATCTCAGGCACACCGGAGACCCTGCAGACCTGAGGGTTAGAGCTCCTGTTCTTCCCGTGCCGCATCCTTCCATAGCAGTCTAGCAGATGTTTACATTGTGTCCCTAGGAGTTTCTTCTCTTGGACACAGGAAGTTCCCTTCAGCTGCAGTCTGAAGAGGGAACTGGTCCCTCCACACACCTCCCTCTGGGCCTTTGTCTTTTAAACTGGGCAGAAGAGACCCTGAGCAGACACAGATTAGGTTTTCTGATTGCACTGACTGAAAAAGGAAGGGGTTAGAGGATTGTTTGCGGAGAAGCCTGAGGGAGCATAGCCCCTTGCATCTCACACCTCAGCTGTCTCCCCATGTTC